TTTTTTTTTTTTTTTTTTTTAATTTTTTTTTTTTCAACGTTTATTTATTTTTGGGACAGAGAGAGACAGAGCATGAACGGGGGAGGGGCAGAGAGAGAGGGAGACACAGAATCGGAAACAGGCTCCAGGCTCTGAGCCATCAGCCCAGAGCCCGACGCGGGGCTCGAACTCACGGACTGCGAGATCGTGACCTGGCTGAAGTCGGACGCTTAACCGACTGCGCCACCCAGGCGCCCCCCCTTCCCTACATCTTATTGATATTTTCTACAATGGTGCTACTCAAAGTATGGTCTGCAGACTGGTTTTAGTCCAAACACTGTTACTGGTTTCCAAAGAGAGGTGAGGAGCTGCTCCAGGGTGTTATAAACTACCCATGTCAATAAGCAAACTAGTTTAGTTGGGTTTTGCTTTGTTTTGTTTGTAGCAAGACTTCTGAATGAAGGAAGCGTTATGTTGATTTGTTAAATTGCATTCTAGCACTGACTTTATGTTGCAGACCTATAACAGAACTATTTAAGACAGGCTACTTTGAATAGCACTAATCTAAACCTATAAATTTTAGGTTAGTATGGATTTATTTTCTATCTTCTTTGAATGTAAGTACTTTTTAAAAGATGACTCAGACTTGTCCAGGGTAATTTAATTACGTTTGTTTATGTATCTCTTTTTTTTTTTTTTTTTTTAATTTTTTTTTTTTCAACGTTTATTTATTTTTGGGACAGAGAGAGACAGAGCATGAACGGGGGAGGGGCAGAGAGAGAGGGAGACACAGAATCGGAAACAGGCTCCAGGCTCTGAGCCATCAGCCCAGAGCCCGACGCGGGGCTCGAACTCACGGACTGCGAGATCGTGACCTGGCTGAAGTCGGACGCTTAACCGACTGCGCCACCCAGGCGCCCCAGTTTATGTATCTCTTTTAGCGTCTCCTAAATTTTTCTCTCTTATTAATGTATTTCATCAAAAACTGTTTTGAATGTAGGTCGTTGTATGGTAAACCTTCTAAGCCTTGAATGCTTGAGAATGTTTTTGTTATACATTCATATTTGAATGATAGTTTGGCTGCACATAAAATTCTAGGTTATAAGTTCTTTTCACTTAATACTTTTGACCCCCAGAAGCAGCAATTTTATATGTTTTAAGAAAATATTAATATACTTGGTTATCTTCTTGCTGTTGAAAAATCTGTTGGCATTCCAATTCTTATTCCTTTGTATGTTATTCGCTCTTTCTGACTGGAAGCTTTAGAATTTTCTCTCTGACTATTATAGTCTTATATTTCCTTGTAATGTGTCTAAATGTGGTTTTTCCTTTTCCTCCTCTTGGGCACACTGTGAGCCTTTTAAATCTATTAAGTGTCTATTTCCAAACTCATCCAGTATATGCATTAAATAGGTACAGCTTTTTGTATGTCATTCATACCTCCATAAGGTGTTTTTTTAAAAAAAATACTAAAGTCCTTTTTTTTTTTTTTTTTTTTTTTTTTTTTTTTTTTTTTTTTTAATTCTGGGAAATTGATCTCCTTTATCTTCAAATAATCTTCATTTTACTTTTATTTCTCTAAGACTTTTATTATTCCAATGTAGCACCTCTGACTCAACATTTCTTTTATATTGTCTAGGCTTTTGTCATCTCTTCCTTCTAGGAAATATCCTTAATATGGTCTTCTAAATTGCTTAGTTATTACTCAAATGTATCCATTCTATGATTTAACACATCAATTATAGCTTTAGCTTTATTTCAACTACCATATTTTTTCAACCTGATATTTTTGTTCATTACCTTTCATTATTTTCTGGTTCTTATTTTGCATTGCAACTGTCTTCTCTTCCTTCTTGTAAAAAAATCTCTTTACCAGGCTAAATTTAAATGACTGGTCCATCTGTTCTGGTATTTCTTTTTCTGTAGGACTCTGTAATCCAGTATGTTTTTCTTTTGAAGTCTTTGTCTCCTTAAATGTCTCATTATTTTGGCCCGTGAACTAATTTTCCCCTCGTGGTATCAGCTGTTCTTTCTGGACAATGCATATGAGTGAAGGCTGACCACAGTCTGGTCAGCTCCAATGAGGTCAGGGAGTTGGGTTCAGTCCCAGATCTGCTATTTACTGGCCTTGTGTCTATGGACAATTTAACTTCTTTGGGTCAGTCTTCCTTCCTCAATAAAATGGTGATAATAATAATACCTACTTGACATTTAAAATATCTATTGACCCAGAATATAATATAGGTTATTTTGTGGGGGTTGTTTTTTTATTTTTATTTTTGGAAGATTTTATTTTTTTAAAGTAATTTCAGCACCCAACATGGGCTTAGGTTTACAACTCTGAAATTAAGAGTCGCATGCTCCATCAACTGAGCTAGCCAGGCTGCCCCTAGGCTATTGCGTTTTATTTAAAAAAAAAAAAAAATTCCCATAGATACATGATCTGCCAATAGATTCTGATCTATTCATCTTACCCTGGTGCCCAGGGAAAATTGTTTAAATATATATTACGTAAGTTGGCAAGTAGTTTTTTAAAAATTAGATATAAAATATATATAAACTTTTTAAAAAATAGTTTCCTAAACATATTTTCTAAAACAGTAGTTTTATGGGGTATGATAAAATTCAGTGTAAAAAAAAGGGGCAGGTGGTTCTGTGGCTAAATAAATTTGGAGAGTGCTATGTTAAACAAATAACCTTAATCTAAGATTTTCAGAATCTTAAACATGCTGGAATGCATTGGACTTTCCAAGATGGGAATGTAGCCCAGTACACTATCTTTTCTGATGCAGTTGAGACTTGTGGTTTGTCAGTTAATTTTCTTAGTTGGTTAAGGTCAGGGATTATAATAAATAATGCATATGAACATAAAACATTTTAACTTAAAATATATGAGATAATTTAATGATCTTTTGATGAAGAATCAAGGTTTTTGCTTGGAATGTGGGGTTTGTGGTTGGAGATCTTTTTTATCTTGTATAAACTATACCCACAAATATACCACTCAGAGATTTACCATTCTGAATTCTTAAACACGGAGCAAGAACTTGTGAAGCGATCTAAGTAGAGAATGATTTAAATGTTTTCAATTTCTTTTCTAATCTTTTATATTTCCTTCACCTATGCTTGAGTCAACAGCAGTGTTTTTGTGTTTTGTGGTTTTCTTAAAGCAAATTGTAATGAATTCTTTCTAAATTATTACTTTAGTTTTCGTAAAACAATTATTTTTCTTCATACTCAAATAATTATATATAATATATAACTAATCCAACTGTATAAATAAGTTTTAGAACAAATACAATTGACTCTTTGTAAGTGTAAACTCAACTGGTGGTAGAAATGGTGTACAGGTATTGTGGAAAATAGCCTACTAGCTATGAGTGCTCAATATGCCATGGAGATGGCATATTATACAGAAAGAAAGAAGTACATTAATTAATCTACAGCATCAGTTAAGGACAATCCATTAAGAGAACTTGTATTCTATCCACAGATTGCCAACTTTATTTGAGCATGAAAACCATTATATGGCAGAGCCTCTTTTCAGACTAATGTTCTACCTTGGGAAAGTCTAATACAGTTATAAAGTTGTCTTTTTAAAAATGTTTATTTATTTTGAGAGAGAGAGAGAGCAAGAGCGTGAGCAGGGGAGGGGCAGAGAGAGAGGGAGGAAGGGAATCCCAAGCAGGCTCTGAGCTGTCAGCGCAGAGCCCGTCATGGGGCACATTCTCATGAGCCTGGGGCTCGATCTCACGAACTGAGCCAAGATCAAGAGTCAGACGCTTAACTGACCACTACCCAGGTGCCCTTCAATTTTGTTTTTTTGAGAAATAACATAGGACTAAACATGTAAGAAGTCCAAAGTAATTTTAAATTGAGCATAGTTCTAAGTTCTTTAAAAATTGTTTGTCTTCTCAGATGATCTTTGGGTGGTTTCAAAAACCCTAGACTTTGAATTGGATACTTTTATTGCATGTAGTGCTTTCTTTGGACCATCATCTACCAATGAGGTGGAGCTACTACCTTTGCAAGGTTATTTCCCCTCTAACTGGCCCACTAACAGTAAGTATTGCCATGCTTATATTAATTTATATTAAAAGAAGAATGATAGACATAAGATGTATTGTGAGCAAGGATGCTAACTTTGGGGTTATTTGATTAAAGCCAACAAAAAGCATCCACCTCTACTTCCTATTATTGTGTATAATGTGTTCCTGAAAAATGTGTATAAAAGTCGAATATATAAATATTTCTGTAGTTCAAGTCTCAGAGGGATAACAATATAATAAAATTTTGAATCCTCACTTAATTTGTTAAAGTTGATCTTTACACAGAATATACCTGATTTTTAAAAATATAAACATTAAACATATAAATAAGTATTTTCTCAAATAATTTCTTACAGCAAGTTTTGATTCTCTTGGTTTTTGAATTCTTTTGGTTTATTATTCTAATAGGGTACATTTAGTAAATAAATCGTTTATTTTATATTGAGAAGGTCTTATAGATTTTGCAAGAGATTTTGTAGGCAACTGAAGAGGAGGGTATGATTTTTATTTTGAGGGTATTTTATCATCTGTCTTGAGAAATTTTCAATAAGCTACTAGGCTACCAGTCTTATTACTATTTTAATAAAGGAAATTTTAGTAGGCTGAATCCCTGTTCAGTTCTAAGAATCTGTAGATATCTCTATACATCTTGATCTCTGAAATAATTCCTGATGGTCGAATTTGGTCTATAACTAATTAAAGACAACATTTAATGATTCATTTAAGTACTTCATATACATTTGTAACTTTTGAATATTTTCTTCAAGAACGAAATAAATCTAGTCAACTAGCTTGAGTCCAGTAAGAGCCTGCCTAATTAAGTAAACATTTGTTACTTAATTTGTCACTTTCATATGTGTATTTTTTTTTATTTTTATTTTTTTTTTGAGAGAAAGAGAGAGAGAGAGCACGCGCACGTGCATGCGTGCGAGTGGGGGAGGGGCAGAGAGAGAGAGGGAGACAGAATCTGAAGCAGACTCCAGGCTCTGAGCTGTCAGCACAGAACCTGACGTGGGGCTTGAACCCACAAGCTGTGAGATCATGACCTAAGCCAAAATCAGATGCTTAACTGACTGGGCCACCAGGCGCCCCATATGTGTATTTTAATATTTGCTACCATTGTTTCCCCAGCAATATCAGCATTCTAACTTTCTGCTTTCCATATATTTCTATAAAATAGTTGAAGAATGAAAGAAAATGTTCCAAAGTTACACAAATACTATACAGCACAAGATGGTATGCTGATTAGTTGGAATTGTCAAGGAGGGTCACCATGCACTAACTCAGAACAGTAGTTATTGCTCATTAGGTGATATATAGAAATCCGAGTTTGATTTGAGTTATGTAATTTATGGATACCCGTGGACAAAGTATGAATAAGTAGATCGTATAGTGGTTTAATGGGTAGAAGTACCTCCCCATATACTTAAGGGTTTATTTTATGTCATGTGATTAATGCAGTAGCTGAGCTCTGAGTTGTATCGAATGTTTTAAATAGTTCCTTTATGATCCATTTTATTTTCATTAAATGTTCAGTTTCTGCGTTCTCTCTACAGTAGTGGTCCATGCATTGTTGGTTTGTAATGCTAGCACAGAGCTGACCACTTTGAAAAACATTCAGGACTACTTTAACCCAGCTACTCTACCTCTAACACCGTACTTGTTAACAATGTAAGTCATTATTTACCAGCGGTCATTGGTGTTCAAAAATGGTGACTAACTGTGAATATGAAAATGCGTTCAAAGTACATTACATATATTTTTGCCAAAAATATTTTAATTATCTTTCAGAGACCATGAGGTTACTGTCTGTCAGTAGTTAAAAGGATGTTAGTGTAAATTTTTGCCTTCTTCAAGGAATGATATTTTAGGGAGATTCTGAGTGTTGATTTTTTATTCATTTCTGTTTTTATGCCACAAATTATTTAACATGTAAAAGAATTCTTTTAGTGGGAATGCAAACTGGTGCAGCCACTTTAGAAAACAGTATGGAGGTTCCACAAAAAATTAAAGTTAGAACTACTCTATGACCCAGCAATTGCCCTACAAGGTGTTTATCCATAGGATACAGGAGTGCTGTTTCAAAGGGGCACATGCACCCCAGTGTTTATAGCAGCTGTATTGACAGTAGCCAAAATATGGAAAGAGCCCAAATGTCCATCAACTGATGAATGGATAAAGAAGATGTGGTGTGTACACACACACACACACACACACACACACACACACACACACACACAATGGAGTATTACTTGGCAGTGAAAAAGAATGGAATCTTGTCATTTGCAGTGTGGGTGGAACTAGAGTGTATTATGCTAAGTGAAATTAGAGAAAGACAAATACTGTATGACTTCACTCAAAAGTGGAATTTAAGATCCAAAACAGATGAACATGAGGGAAGGGAAGCAAAAATAATATAAAAACAGGGAAGGGGGCAAAACATAAGAGACTCTTAAATACAGAGAACAGGGGCACCTGGGTGGCTCAGTTGGTTAAGCGTCCAACTTCATCTCAGGTCATGATATCACAGCTCGAAAGTTCAAGTCCCGTGTCAGGTTCTGTGCTGACAGCTCAGAGCCTGGAGCCTGGTTGGGATTCTCTGTCTCCCTCTCTAACTGCCCCTCCGCCGCTCATCCTCTGTCTCCCAAAAGTGAATAAACATTAAAAAAATTTTTTCTTTTAAATACAGAGAACAAGCTGAGGGTTGCTGGCAGGGTGTTGGGTCAGGGGATAGACTAAATGGGCAAGAGGCATTGAAGAGGGCACTTGTTGGGATGAGCACTGGGTGTTATATGTAGATAATGAATCACTGGATTCTACTCCTGAAATCATTATTTTACTATATGCTCACTAACTTGGATGTAAATTAAAAAGATAAACTAAACTAAAATAAAAAAGAATCCTTTTTATAGGTTGAATTCAGTATGTACATCGATACTATTTTTTTTATGTTTATTTTGAGGGAGAGGGAGCGTGCATGCACGAGCAAGGGAGGGGCAGAAACAGAGAGAGAGAGAGGATCCCAAGCAGACTCCATGCTGTCAGCGCAGAGCCCTGTGGGGGGCTTGATCTCATGAACTGTGAGATCATGTCCTGAGCCAAAATCAAGGGTTGGACATTTAACCGATTGAGCCACCCAAGTGCCCTGTACTCGCTTTATTCTTGACATAAACTTAATTTCTCAAGTTTTAAAATACCCCATTTTAAAATATTGGAAGTGATATTCTATTAAATTCACTAAAATGGTAGAAAAAGTCTAGTTTCTAATTTGGAATGTTATCTGTCTTGTGTTTCCTTTCTCTCAGTATAATGAAGCTCTAGGTAAAAAATAAAAATCCTTATGATCCCATTATGTCATTATCTATCTTTGTTATTTAATCTTTGAAATGAATTGATCCTTTATAAAAATAGAAATAAAACCAATTTATTTATTATAGTTTTACCTGAAATAGAGGCTGTATTAATTACCTAAGACAGCCTTGTATAATAGAACATGGGCTTTAAAGTCAGTACACCACTTATTATCTGTGTGCTTTTTGGGAAAAAAATTTAATATTTCTGTATCTTATTTGGGCTAATTAACTACTTCTTAGTGTTGTTTTTAAGATCACATCAAATAATATGTAAAATGCTTAGCATAGTGCTGGCACATAGTTGGTATTCAAAATAGCATTAAAACATTAGTTTTCTTCTCCTCTACCCTCCTTCAAAATGGGGTATATATATCCATTTGTGCCCTTAAAAAAAATGTTCTCTATGATGCTTATGAAATGAAGGTTATTAATAGGTTTACTCACTATTTCAAAAACCCCTCATTTTCCTTTGATTTTTTTTTTTTTTTTTTTTTTTTTTTTTTTTTTTTTTTTTGCTGCCTTTTTACTAGGTCTTCGTCAACTGTAGTTAGCAACAAGAGAGTCAGTAAGAGAAAATTTATCCCACCAGCCTTCTCAAGTATCAATACAAAATTTGAACTTCTCAGCCTAGAAGCAACATTGCAGTTAGCTAGTCAATTAATTCAGGCACACAAGTTAAATGAGGATCAAGCTACAGCCTTAATTCAGATAGCTCAAATGATGGCATCGCACGAAAATGCTGAAGTGAAGGAACTGCAAACACATATCCTCCCTATCACGATCATACATGGTAAGAAGCAAGAAAGAAAGCAGTTCTAATAAATATACTGTTATATGCACTTTTGTAACTGTCTGCTTGTAATTTCCTAATCACAGAAGATTCTAGAATGACTCTACATAGATTATTTTGAGTCTGAACCTACTTTAGTAAACTATTAGATGAGAGCAGAACTGACCATCCTGAAAGGGAGAATAGGCAGCGTATCTAATGAATGAGTAGCATTATACACTCATTATTCACAGTATCCAGACTTGATCTAGATATCTACGTGTTGCACTATCAGAGTGAACTTCAAGCCTGAGCAACAAAGCCTTTTATTAATTCCTAGTGAGCTCACACTTTCATCCTCCCCCAGCAGCTATTCCAAACCTTTAATCTCTCCTGGCCCTTGCCCTACTGCCTCTAAAATTGATTCTGCCTTCAAAACAGGAAATGGAGTTTATAACAGAAATTCCTCTCAATATCCTGCTCTCCCCCATTTTACCTAAGTTTGAACCTATTTTTACCTTTTTTGGTTCTGTCCCAGTAAAGGAGCTTTACTTCCCCCTCTTCAGAGCTAATAATTCTATCTGGATTCTGTCACCTTTTTAGCTCATTTCCTCAAACATCCACTCCAAAGCTATTTTGTGCTGTTTTGAGGATTTATATCACATTCACCCTGTTGACCAAGCTAGATACCTGGGACTCATCCTTGATTATTCTTTCTCCTTAGATGAAGTGACTCTCTTAATCTTCCTCCTCCTCTCTGTTTATCTCCCCCCATCAGATTAGTCACTGAGATGTTTCACTTCTGGTTTCTACCTTTCTTTCCTATAAGTTTTCTCCTCTCCAGGTTACTTGGGTCCCCTCCATCCAAGCCTTCACTGTACCTCCTATATAGCCTGGTGGTGAAAAGGTAGGCTCTAGAGCTGGAATCCTGGATTTATATCCTGGCGCTCTCATGTATTAGCTGCATGACCTTAGCAGGTTACTTATCTCAGCTTTAATTTCCTACTCTGTAACATAAGTTGATAACAGCATCTTTCTCTTAGGGTTGGAGGACTATATGAGTGAACGCTGGTAAAGGGCGTGGAACAGTGTCTGACACATGGGAGGCACTGAGGAAAGTTAGCATGTATTATTGTTATGGTTATCTCACACCCCTTTCTAATTGCTCCACCTTTAGTTTTTTCCTTCTTAATATTTTCACTCAAGTAGTTTTTACAAAATACAGTCTGCCTAAGTCAATTCTATTGCTTAAAATCCTTCAGTGACTTTCCCTGGTCTGCAAGACAAAATTTAAACTTTTTCACCACACCAAGCAGAATTCTTGTGATTTATCCTCTTGCCTACTTTGTCGGCCTTGTCTCTTACCTATTTTGCTATAGGCTGTATAGAAATAGTTAACATCTGCATACTTTGCCATGCCTTTGCCTGGAATGGCCGTTTCTTTAAGCAGTCTGGATATATTATGCTGGAAGACTTAGTTCTGCTACTTCTTATTTTTAGGAAGCATTCCCATCTTTACCAAAGCAGAGAGGAATGTTCTTTCTTTTTTAAAAATTTTTTTTTTCAATGTTTATTTATTTTTGGGACAGAGAGAGACAGAGCATGAACGGGGGAGGGGCAGAGAGAGGGGGAGACACAGAATCGGAAACAGGCTCCAGGCTCTGAGCCATCAGCCCAGAGCCCGACGCGGGGCTCGAACTCACGGACCGCGAGATCGTGACCTGGCTGAAGTCGGACGCTTAACCGACTGCGCCACCCAGGCGCCCCGAGAGGAATGTTCTTTCTTTGATACAATAACAGTGTTGCTTATCATATTATTTTATCATTGTTCCTTCACTTTGTTTTCCTGTGTAGATTCATTAAATGTGGAGGCCTTTGGTTATCTATTTATCCCTTGTGCAAAGCACATAGTAGTCACTCAGTGAATGTCTTTTGACTAAATTAATTAAATGAAAGGGAGAGGGAAGCAGATGGATGAAATATTTCTTATACTTTCAAAAATTTATTTATGACATTGCCTTTATTCTATTTCCCCTTCCTTCAAAATAATTAGGTGTTTTTGGAGCAGGAAAGAGTTATTTGCTGGCAGTGGTGATTTTGTTTTTTGTACAGCTATTTGAAAAGAGTGAAGTTCCTACAGTTGGAAATGCAAGACCATGGAAACTTCTCATTTCTTCTTCCACTAATGTAGCTGTGGACAGAGTACTTCTTGGGTAGGTATGACTAGTGTATTTAAGTGTCTAATATTTTATTTATTTATTTTTTTTTACAAGTTTTATTTATTTAAGTAATCTCTACAACCAACGTGGGGCTCAAACTCATGACTCTGAGATCTGGAGTTGCACACTCCTCCACTTGAGCCAGCCACGTGCCCCTAATTAACCAATTTTTGATCCGTTAATTTTTTCCATATTTTTGCCATTATAAATAATATTGTGACAAAATCCTTAAATACAAATCTTTATCTCCATTTCTGATTCTTTCCTTAGGAAACAGTCCCAGGTCTAGAATAAAAGATATCAACCTTTTTTTCTTATTAAGTAAGCTCTGTGGCCAACGTGCCCAATGTTAGCTTAAACTCTCAACCCTGAGATAAAGAGTTGCATTCTTACCAACTGAGCCAGCCAGGTGCCCCAAGATATAAACATTAAAAAAAAAATTTTTTTAAGTTTGTTTGTTTATTATAAGTTTATGTATTTGTTTTGAGAGAGAGAGAGAGAGGTAGAGAGAGAGAATCCCAAGCAGGCTCCACCCTGGCAGTGCAGAGACTGACGTGGGGCTTGAACCTGTAAGCTGTGAGATCATAACCTGAGCCAAAATCAAGAGTCAGAGGCTCAACTGACTGAACCATCCAGGCGCCCCAAGATACAAACATTTTTAAGCTCCCTAATATATTTTGCAAAATTGTCCTTCAGAAAGGGAGTGATGTATATATACAAATGATCATAGCCTTTAGAGGTAGACGGACTTGCCTAGGTTGAATCATGGCTGACTCCACTTTTTAGCTATGTGGCCTCAGCAAAATACCTCACTTTTTTTTTGGAGTCCTCATCTCTAAGATGAGATACTGTCGTGCAGAGCTGTAATGAATATTAAATGAGATAATGTATGTAAAGATAAAGTATTTATTCCTAATAAATCCTGATGCTAAGTATATGGCAGCTATTGTTTTCCATATTATTATGTTGTTAGAGAAAATTTTATATGTGATAAATACTAGCATTAATATCTTATAAACATTTAATGAACCCTCAGTTGAATTTAAAAATTCTCTATAAAACGCCTTATATAAAAAAGACTTTTAGCTACATTGCATTTACTCTGAGTTTGGACATTACAGATTGACTTCTATAACTATAAGATACACTATTACACAAAATTAATTTTAGTAACATAAATATTATATGAAACTTTGCTTTATATTCTTCTAAATAATCGGAATCTATTTTACCTTGTTTTCTTTAAAGGCTTCTCAGTCTTGGATTTGAAAAGTTCGTCAGAGTTGGGAGTGTTAGGAAGATTGCTAAACCAATTTTACCTTACAGGTGAGAACACTGAATTCCAGAAGTCACAGAGTGCTCAGAGAAGTACAATATTTTTTTTAAGTTTATTTATTTATTTTTGAGAGAGAGTGCACCCACGTACACACAAGCGGGGGAGGGGCAGAGAGAGATTGGGATAAAGAAAATCCCAAGCAGACTCCACACTCAATGTGGAGCCCAGCACTGGGACTTGATCCCAACACTCTGAAATCATGACCTGAGCTGAAACCCAGAGTCTGTTGCTCAACTGACTGAGCCACCTAGGCGCCCCAAGAAGTATAATAATTTTATATAACTCTTACCTTAAATTTGGTTTTTGAAGAAGAGTGGAGAAATATTTATCTTTTTTTTTCTGGTTAACTTAGAAAATCTATATTTTATATTTTTATAATGTGAAAATGGGACAAAGAGGGATATTGTTTTATGTAATACTTTTTTTAGTTTGCATGCTAGCTCAGAAAATGAAAATGAGCAACTAAAAGAACTGAATGCACTAATGAAAGAAGACTTGACTCCTCTGGAAAAGATCTATGTCAGAAAAAGTATTGAGCAGCATAAATTGGGGACCAATAAAACCCTGCTGAAGCAGGTAAGTTTGTTTCTTCATTTATACGTACTATTCAGATTTCTTTTTCTTGTTGACAGAGAATATTTCCTTTAAATTAAACAAATGACTGTGATAGTTTAGATTCACATCAGGTGTGTGTATGTCCATCTGGTGTGTGTTTTATCCTATCGGAAAACACTCTTCAAATTTGTGAACAGATCCAGCTTACCATGACTGAGTTATCTTTTCTCCTTTTCTGTATTTGCGTGTGTGTATTTAAAATATTTATTCATTATTTATTTATAATTTTGAGACAGAAAGAGCACACGTGGGGGAGGGGTAGAGAGAGATGGGGAGAGAGAGGATCCCAAACAGGCCCCGCACTGTCAGCACCGAGCCCAACGCAGGATTTGAACGTATGAAACTGTAAGATCATGACCTCAGCCGAAATCAAGAGTCAGACTCAACCAACCTAGCCACCCAGGTGCCCCTATTTGTATATCTTTTTATAAGCTTAAAGAGGAAAAAGAAAAGGTTTTTATTATTAATGCATTATTTTATAATTTTTATATAAGTTATATATAAGTATATTATTTATAATAATTATTTATTGAGAAAAACCTCCCCTTAAAGAGGAAACAGAAGATAGTTTTCTTGGCAAATTAAGTGAAACTTGGTTTTTTTCTAGGTGAAATTGGAGAGGAGAAGGTCTGACCTGGGCAAAATATCAAGTGAAATTTGTCTTTAATGCTTTCCCTAGAAAGCCAAGCCTTTCAGGGTCTGTCTGTATCTGAGAATCTAGGAGTCTCAGATACTTGCTTCTAGGTATTGGAAGCCAAGACCGGGCACATAGGATCCTAACCTGTAACAGGTAGCATCATCCCTGTTATCAACTTCTCATCCAGAGCAGCTTCCTTCAGCTGGCAGCTGATGAGAAAGAAGCCAATGAGTAGCTCCCACCAATGAAAGGAGAGCATGCAGAAAAGAAAGAGGAATGGAGGAAAAGGGGGTTGTTGGCTTTTTGGACCATGTGGACATTGGTCACTTTCTGCAAGAGATTTGGAAAAATCGGGGCACCTGGGCGGCTCAGTCAGTTGAGCGGCTGACTCTTGGTTTCAGCTCAGGTCATGATCTCACGGTTCATGAGTTCAAACCCCACATCGGTCTCTGCACTGACAGTGTGGAGCCTGCTTGGGATTCTCTTTCTCTCCTTCTCCTTCCCCCACCCCTTCTCAAAATAAATAAACTTAAAAAAATTATATAAAAAGAAATTTGGAAAAATCAACATGCTTGGGTCCTGGTATTGCTTAGCTCTTTCCAAAAAATGCTGCTTAACAAACAAAATCTCAGTACTTTAAGACAACAGACTCATGACTGTAGAGGTCATTTGGCACGGCCCAGCTTGAGGCTGTGGTTCAGGTCTCTCGTTCTGAGAACAGTTGCCTATGGCATGATGGCCTTCTCCTGACGGATGGCAGAAGCACAAGAAGGTGGGCAGGATCACACAAATACATTTAAAGCGTTTGTTCATATTATGTCTGCTAATACTCCATTTGCTTTAACAGGTCAGATGGCCAAGCCCAGCAGTAGTGGGACAGGGAAATACACTCCACCTACTTCTCTGGTGGGAAGCGCTGCAAAGCCACATGGCAAAGGGTGCGGATGTGTAATACTCTCACAAGGAGGGAGGGGGGGAATTGGAAATGATAACCAATCTGCAACAAGTTTTGCTTACAGAAGTCCTCAGAAGGCTTCAGATGAGCTTTCAAGTATTTTGAATTATAGAGTCAAATTCTACTTCCTTCTCTACTTAATCCAGAAGGGCTGAGTTTGACTGTGTTCAATCAATGCAAATTAGTCATTTATGTAAATTATTTACCATTTTAGTCACTTACTCAACATAATATTGACATGTAAGAATAATTGTTAACGACTTCTTTGATAATTTTCTGAGCAAAAGCCCAGATAGCATAATCTGTTGCTCACTGGTAATATCTGTTCACAAATGAGAACTCTTTTAAAGGAAACATTTTTCTTAAAGTTTATTTAGCAAATTTCCACGGTCAGAGCTAACACATTTCTAAAGTGGCATGTCTTTACAATAAAATTAATTTTAAAAAATGCTTCGTGGTTGACTATTTCCTAGATCAATAATAAAAATCTCTTCTGTAGTTAGAACCTCAGCAATACAAGGACAAATTAAAATATATAAATAATACAGTATTTTATTTTATTTTTCTTTTTTTTTTTTAATTTTTTTTTTCAACGTTTTTATTTATTTTTTTTGGGACAGAGAGAGACAGAGCATGAACGGGGGAGGGGCAGAGAGAGAGGGAGACACAGAATCGGAAACAGGCTCCAGGCTCTGAGCCATCAGCCCAGAGCCCGACGCGGGGCTCGAACTCACAGACCGCGAGATCGTGACCTGGCTGAAGTCGGACGCTTAACCGACTGCGCCACCCAGGCGCCCCTATTTTTCAATATAATTTATTGTCAAATTGGCTAACATACAGCATGTGAAGTGTGCTCTTGGTTTTTGGGGTAGATTCCCATGGTTCATCGCTGACATACAACCCCTAGTGCTCATCCCAATGAGTGCCCTCCTCAGTAATAATAATGATATTTTAAAGAAAACTTAGTTATTTAGGTTTTTGTATTAGATATTTATTTAACTAAAAAAACTGCTTCCTGGGTCACAACTTCAGGGTTCTCATTCTAAGGTTGTCTTATCAGATACAGTTCCCAGAAATTAAATGAGGAATGCCATTTGAGAGTGGTACCATGAGAATGTATAGTGCTACCGTGTGGTGTCCCCTGCTGGATCCTTTCGCAAGAGCTGAATATTTAAAAACTGTGGAGTTTCTAATATAAATGGGGCCTTGGGATTTTTGGTTTTGTTTTTAACAAGAGGAGAACCTAACTGACGAAGCGTTATTGTATGTGATAAATGTTATCTATTATTAAAGAAAATAAGGAGTTTATAATATTTCTTGTTTCACAGGGCCTATGGAGGCAGTGTTTAATTTGTAAAGCATATTTTTGTCAATCACATTTGTTGACAAAATTTTGGTCAGTTTGTGTGGACTGCCCTTGCTACCAAGAAGTAGAATTATACTTCAGATTGTTAAGAGAGGAAAAAAAATGTATATATGCTTGTGTGTATGTGTATCTATACACACATGTGTGTGTTTGTGTGTGTGTGTGTGTGTGTGTGTAGCTATTAGACTACTAGTACAATGGCCACATGTAATTAGAAAATTCAGTCATTTTCCTCTTGTTTATATTTAGTTGCAGAGATTAATATGAGCTTTTTTTTTTTTTTTTTTTTTTTTTTTTTTTTTTTTTTTTTTTTTTTTTTTTTTTACATCAGGCTTTTTGCCTTGAGAATAATGGTATTCTCTTATAAGATTCAAATATACTTACAGGCCACAAGGACACTAATTTACTGTTGTTTAGAAGTAGCCATCTTTACTTTCTTAAGTAAGTTAAAATCCTAGAGTGCAGTTCATTAGTGTGTTCAGTGCTCTTCGTGGAGCACTTTGGCCTGTGTTGATGATAACCCATGTGGTGTTTATTTAGCTTCATCTAGAAGGATAAAATATGCATATCATCCTTAACGTTTTAAATCCTGACACTGTAATACCTCCCTTGTGAATGTCAAAATGTGTCTTTTATCTGTTCTTATTAAGGGGCTTGTGGCTTAAGTAGCCTCTATGCTGTGATTTCCATTCACTCTGTGGGAATGACAAAAATGTGGAAATAAAGTGACCTATGATTTCTGATTGCCAGTAATTAAATTAGGACAGCTCGTTTCTGATTTTAGCCTACAAGTTCTTTGGTAAATACATTGTCTTATTTTTTAAAAGTTTGTTAATTAATAATATTCTTATTGTAATAAAGGTGCGGGTAGTTGGAGTTACCTGTGCAGCCTGCCCATTCCCATGCATGAATGATCTTAAATTTCCTGTAGTTGTGCTGGATGAGTGTAGTCAAATAACTGAACCGGCCTCTCTCCTTCCCATTGCAAGGTAACCTAAAAAATTCCTTTCCAAAACACACCCAGATATCATAATATTTCAAATAATTTTGCACTTCAAACTCTTACCAAACTTTTTGAAAATTTTTAACAGTTTAGGTACTAAAGTGACTTTTTAAAAGAATGCAGAGGGGAACTTGAGAGGGGTTAATGTGTCAAAATTTTGTTAGATCACAGTTGAGACATTTGGATCACATAATTCTTTTTAAAGTTTTCGTTTTAATTCCAGGGAGTTAATATACAATGTTATATTAGTTTCAGGTATACAATATAGTGATTCATCAATTCTGTACATCATCCTGTGCTCATCACAAGTGCCCTCCTTAATCCCCATCATCTATTTCACCCCATTCCCCCCACCCACCTCCCCTCTTGCAACCATCTGTTTGTTCTCGATAGTTAAGAGTTTGTTTCTTGGTTTACCTCTCTCTTATTTTTTTCCCTTTCTTGTTTATTTTTAAATTCCACATATGAGTGAAATGAGATGGTATTTGTCTTTTTTTGGTTGATTTGTTTCACTTAGCATTATACTCTCACTCCATCTGTGTCATTGCAAATGGCCAGATTTCATTCCTTTTTTATGGCTGAATGATATTCATTGTATGTATACCCGACTTCTTTATCCATTCATCACTGGATGGACACTTGGGCTGCTATTATATCTTTGCTATGGTAAATAATGCTGCTGTAAACATAAGAGTGCATGTATCCCTTTGAATTAGTATTTTTGTATCCTTTGGGTAAATACCTAGTAGTGCAATTGCTAGATCATAGGGTAGTTCTATTTTTAACTTTTTGAGGAACCCCTACAGTGTTTTCCATGGTGGCTGTACCAGTTTGCATTCCCACCAATAGTGCACAAGGGTTCCTTTTTCTCCACATCCTCGCCAACACCTGTTGTTTCTTTGGTTGTTGATTTTAGCCATTCTAACAGGTGTGAGGTGATATCTCCTTGTAGTTTTGATTTACATTTCCCTGATGATAGATCACATAATTTTTAAAGCCTTGATAACACTAGTGCTAGAATTTTACTAGAGAACCTTGCAGGTTTCTCACCTAGATTAGAGGTTCTTCTTTAGTCCTATTTTGAGAACCTAAGTCTACTGAAGAATGTTCTTCAGTTGCTTACTTTGATAAAGTTCCAGTGTTTAAGTTCTGAAAATAAAATTTATATTATGAAAGGATATAAACTATGTACAGAAAAATCAGTTGAAAATGAAACTTTGTCCAATAAAATTTAGAAGACTATAAAATCTTCTAAGCTGTATCAGTTAATTGAAACATTGTGCTTTTAAAGCATCTCTGAGGGATCCTGAAGGCAGTGGAAAGAGTGCTAGACTTGGACTCAGTAGGCCTGAGTTCTAATCCTTGTTCTATCCCAAGTTAATGAAGGAACGAGTACCTACTGTCATGATTTTCCCAGGCCTTGGGAGGTCTTGCATCATGGGAATTTTAGGTTAAACTGGGACAGTCCTAAGCAAACCAATATGAGTTGGTCACCCCACTCAGGAGCCGGGAATGGAGGAACAGTAAGGTCCTGCACAGAGGATAGAGGAGTAATAGGGTTAATCTATTTAACAATAGAAGCAATAATGCTAATATGAGTAACAAGAAATATTTCCTGTTATGTGAAGCACCTGCTGTATACTAAACACATTATATACTGCACGAAGTCCTGATAACAGTTATGCAAAGTAGTAGCATATCCAGGTTACTGGTAAGAGTGCTGAAGCTTGGAGAAGTTAAATAACTTGTTGTGTCCATAGAATATAATGGAGTTGAGATTTAGATACAAGTTTTTCTACAAAAAATTGGACATTTTCCCACGATATCCTACCTCAATTTAAAAAGACATTTAGCCCCAGGAACTTTATTTCATTCTAAAGCAAGAGTTTAAGCCAAATGTTTTCTATGAAAGCCTCTAAGTTTATAGAATTTAAAAGTCATTGTTTCTCAAAACGTGTTGGGCAAAATGCTAATTCCATGCAGAGGCAAGGGGACATTTAGTACATTTTATGTAGGAAAAAATTGTAAGGGGTTTTTTACTGAGTAAGTTCAAAGCCTTTTAATACATTTATTAGCATTATTAAGCCTTGTTAGTTCCCAGAACTCTGGGAATACATGTTGGAAAATAGTGCAGCAAATGATGTCAATGCATGCCTTCTCTTATTGCTTAGATTAATTTTTGGAATTCTGTTTTTAGGTTCGAGTGTGAAAAGCTGATTCTTGTTGGAGATCCCAAACAGCTTCCTCCTACTATTCAGGGTTCTGATGCAGCTCATGAAAATGGATTAGAACAAACTCTTTTTGATCGGCTCTGCTTAATGGTACTACTGTTCAATTCATGCAGAATTATCATTTATGGATTATATACTGTGTAGATAGATCGAAAATGAAAATATTAGAAGGCTTAGTCCCTGCCCTAAAATAATTGTAACTGTTTAGAAAGTACCCCTCTTAAAGATAACTAGCACCTTGTAATTTAAGTACCCTTTTATATAATGAATCTTTTCCCCATGTACTACTTTAATAGTGGGTAGTAAATATATGGCTTTTGCTCTAAAATCTTAAAAAACTCTATAATGTCTTTATTATCCATGTCCCCTATTGTAGGGCTGTTGTAGAGTGCTGCTTCACATTTAAAAGAATTTTTTTAAATTAATTATTAATATACACATATATATTTTTTAACATTTACTAATTTTGAGAGAGAGGGATCCTGAGCAGGGGAGGAGCAGAGAGAGAGGGAGAGACAGAATCCCAAGAAGTCATCGCAGAGCCCAATGCAGGGCTCGAACTCAGTGAACCATGAGATCATGACCTGAGCCTAAATCAAGTCTGACACTTAACTGATGGAGCCACCCAGGCTCCCCTAATTATTAATGTATCTTTTTTAAAATTTAATTAATTTATTTATGTATTTATTTTTACTTTACATCCAAGTTAGTTAGCATATAGTGCAACGATGATTACGGGGGTAGATTCCTTAATGCCCCTTATCCATTTAGCCCATCCCCCCTCCCCCAACCCCTTCAATAACCCTCTGTTTGTTCTCCATATTTAAGAGTCTCATGTTTTGTCTGCCTCCCTGCTTTTATATCATTTTTACTTCCCTTCCCTTGTGTTCATCTGTTCTGTATCTTAAAGTCCTCATATGAGTGAAGTCATATGATATTTGTCTTTCTCCGACTGACTACTTTTCGCTTAGCATAATACCCTCTAGTTCCATCCATGTAGCTGCTCATGGCAAGATTTCATTCTTTTTGATTGCCGAGTAATACTCCATTGTGTGTGTGTGTGTGTGTGTGTGTGTGTGTGTGTGTGTGTGTGTGTGTATGCCACATCTTCTTTATCCATCAATGGACATTTGGGCTCTTTCCATACTTTGGCTATTGTTGATAATGCTGCTATAAACATTGGGGAGCATGTGCCCCTTCAAAACAGCATACCTATATCCCTTGGATAAATATGCTTTGTCAAAGATTAGCTGGCCATATGTTTGTGGGTCCATTTCTGGGTTCTCTATTCTGTTCCATTGATCTGAGTGTCTGTTCTTGTGCCAGTACCATACTGTCTTGATGGTTACAGCTTTGTAATACAGCTTGAAGTCTGGAATTGTGATGCCTCCTGCTTTGGTTTTCTTTTTCCAGCATTGCTTTGGCTATCTGGGGTCTTTTCTGGTTCCATACAAATTTTAGGATTGTTTATTCTAGCTCTGTGAAGAATGCTGGCGTTATTTTTATAAGGATTGCATTGAATATATAGATTGCTTTGGGTAGTATTGACATTTTAACAATCTTTGTTCTTCCTATCCAGGAGCATGGAATCTTCTTCCATTTCTTTGTGTCTTCAATTTCTTTCATAAGCTTTCTATAGTTTTCAGTGTATAGATTTTTCACCTCTTTGGTTAGATTTATTCCTAGGTATTTTATGGGTTTTGATGCAGTTGTAAATGGGATCGATTCTTTTATTTCTCTCTCTGTTGTTTCATTGTTGGTGTATAGGAATGCAACCAGTTTCTGTGCATTGTTTTTATGTCCTGCAACTTTGCTGAATTCAAAATCAGTTCTAGCAGTTTTTTGGTGGAATCTTTTGGGTTTTCCATATAGAGTATCATGTCATCTGCGAAAAGTGGAAGTTTGACCTCATGGCCGATTTGGATGCCTTTATTTCTTTATGTTGTCTGATTGCTGAGGCTAAGACTTCCAATACTGTGTTGAATAACAGTGGTGATAATATATCTTTAAATAGAGGTGACATTCACATAATGTAAAATTAACCGTTTTAAAAGTGGATAATTCAGTGGCATTTAATACGTTCACGGTACTGTGTAAACACGGGCTCTATTTGAAAACACTTCTGTCACCCAAAAATAAAAACCCATACCCATTTAGCAGTTTCTCCATTCCCTCCTCTCTCCAGACCCTGGCAACCACCAGTCTGTTTTCAGTCTGTATAGTCGTATCTAGTCAGTATACTTTATGTCATACAATCTTACAACTTTCATATCATATACAACCCAGAATCTATACAATATGTGACCTTTTGTGCCTGGCTTATGTCACTTAGCACCGAGTTTTTGAGGTTCATCCACATTATAGCATATATCAATACTGTATTACATTAAACAAAAATACATTCTTAATGGTACTGTAGTCATCTCCCTACTCATATCTAGAACTTTTTCATTATCCCAACAGAAACTTTGTACCCATTAAACAATAATGCCTCTTCTTTCCTGAGCACCTGGTAACCTCTATTCAGCTTTCTGCCTCTGTGAATTTGCCTCCTCTATGTGCTTCATATAAGTATAATCATATGATTTGTGTCCTTTTGTGTTTGGCTTATTTACTTGGCATAATCCATTCAGAGTGTGTCCATGTTGTAATATGTGTCAGAATTTCATTCCTTGTTAACACCAAATAATATTCCATTGTATGTAATACCACATTTCATATATCCACTCATCTGTGGATGGATATTTGGGTTGTTTCTGTCTTTCAGCTATTGTGAATAACAGTGCCATGAGCATTGGTATACAGATACCTATTCGAGTCTCTGCTTTCAGTTCTGTTGAGTATACATGCAGAAGTGCTACTACTGGGTCATATAATAATTTTATGGGTTTTTTTTTTTAAATCCTTTCTCTTTGTTTTTTAAGTTTTTATTTAAATTCCAGTTAGTTAACATACAGTGTAATATTAGTTTCAGGTGTACAGTGTAGTGATTCAACACTTCCATACAACACCTGATGCTCATCACAGTAAGTGCCCTTCTTAGTCCTGATCACCTGTTTAACCCATCCCCCACCCACTTCCCCTCTGGTAACCACATCAGTTTGTTTTCTGTAGTTAAGAGTCTGTTTCTTTCTTTTCTTTTCTTTTTTCTTTTTTTCTTTTTTTCTTTTGTTAACCTTTGTTCATTTTTGAGAGAGACAGAGTGCATGCAGTGATGGAGCAGAGAGAGAGGGAAACATAGAATCCAAAGCAGACTCCAGGCTCTGAGCTATCAGCTCAGAGCCTAACGTGGGGCTTGAACTCACGAACTGTGAGATCAGGACCTGGGCTGAAGTCAGACACTTAACTGACTGAGCCACCCAGGCGCCCCTTGACAGTTTCCTTTGATGAACAAAAGTTCTGTAATTTTGCTGAAATCCAGTTTATCTATTTTTTTTTTCTTGTGTTGCTTGTGCTTTTGGGGTCATATCCATGAAACCTCATCCAGTAACATACAAATTTTCCCCAGTGTTTTCTTCAAGAGTTTTATAGTTTTGGTCTTACATTTTACTTAAGATTCTTTGATCCATCTTGAGTTTATTTTTGTAAAGGTATAAGATATGGTCCAGTTTTTTTTTCTCCCATGCATATATTCAGTTTTTCTAGCACCATTTGTCAAAAAAAATCTGTCCTTTCCCCATTGAATGGTTTTGGCACCCTTGACAAAAATCAGTTGACTATGTGCAGGTTTATTTCTGGACCCTCTATTCTATTCCATTGGTCTATATTATTTAATTTTTTATGGCTGAATAATATTCCATTGTATGCATGTACCACAATTTGCTTATCTATTTATTATTACTATTGTTTTGATGCAATATTCAAAATCAAGCTATTTTTATAAGCAGAATATTAAAGTATTACGACCAAAAGAATATAGAAAATCTACCAAAAGAAAAATTTTATCAGTGTTGCTAGCTTAAATTGCATTTAAGGAGTTACTTTGCTGTTTGAACTTTCAATAATCTGTACTTTTTTTTTGAGAGAGAGGGTATAACTGAGCAAAGGGCAGACAGAGAGAGAGAGAGGGAGAGAGAGAGAGAACTGGGTCTCACCCAAAGCAGGGCTCATGCTCACCCAAAGTGGGGCTTGTGCTCATTTGAAGCAGGGTTTGTATTCATGAACCATGAGATCATGGCCTGAACTGAAGTCAGATGCTTAACTTACTGAGCCCCCCAGACACCGAATAATCTGTACTTTCTTAACAGAGGAAGAAAAATAGAAATGAAACTAAAAGAATGATTAAATCTCAAGTAAATGTTTCTTCACCCTCAAGAGATAGTATTTCCTAAAAGATCCTTCTAACAAGAGATTTTAGATGGATGGATTGATTGCTTTGCTCTAAATGGTAGAGATATTAGTGCTCTCATGCTTTTCCCCCTTTTCTTATCCCTTCCCTTATTCCTATTTTTGTTAGTTACGTTGTTATTCTTTTTGTTCTATAGTCATAATTTGTACAATTGTTTAGAGTCATTCTATATATTTTTTAATTTTTTAAAAAGTGTTTATTTTGAGAGAGAGAAAGAGCACGCATGCATGCGCGCGCACACACACGTGTGCGCATGCATGTAGGGGAGGGGCAGAGAGAGAGGGAGAGAGAGAAAATCCCAAAAAGGCTCCAAACTGTCAGCACAGAGCCCCGACCCAAGACTCGATCTCACAAACTATGAGATCATGACCTGAGCCACCCAGGTGACCCTAGAATTAGTTCTATATTTAGAAGTTTCAGTGTCATTCATATGGGTGCTTTGGACTGCATCATCAATTTTTTTTTTTTCAAGAATGACTTATAGATACATACTTTCCTGAGTCCGTTTTGTTTCAAAATGTCCATTGCTTTTAAATGTAAAAGGCATCTTGGCTTACTGAATAGTTGCATCAAGTATTACTGTGAATTTTAGGGCCAGCCTGATTATTTTCCCCTTGTAATGATTTATTTTTTCTACCTAGATACAATAACTCTTTTTACAACCTTAAAGTTTATAAATTTGCCACAGTATATCTCAGTGTGGAGCTTTCTGTAACTAATCGTTCTGTAGTAAAAGTTCTCT